CTGCATTTGCTTGATTCTAAGATTTTTTTTTTTTTTTTTTTCCTCCTTTCAACATGGGGAGTGGGGGCAGGAGTGGAGAAACTCTCTTCCAAGACAAGGCTGTCAGGTCAAAATGCAGATGGTAAGTCTTTGTGAGCTAGTGGCAGGGAGTCGCTTAGCAAGGCAGGCAGTGCAGAGGCACCTGGCAGGGAAAAGAGGAATTTTGCAAAGTGCAAACATGTCAGTCTGTCTGTTTTGAAATGGATACTTTTGACAGATTGTCTAATGTGTTTCTGCACCAGGTCCAGAAAGGTATTTAGGCATCTAACTCTAATGGGATTTGAGATGTCTGAATAGTTTTTAAATCTGGCCCTCTATCTGGAAAGCATAGTAAATTTTTGCTTTCTTTTCAACAAATTTCTCCATTACTTTTTTAGAATAATACAAGACCACAGTGAAGGGAACAGCCTGCAAAATCAAGCACTTCAAACTCTGCAGGAGAGGCTACGTGATACAGATTCTGCACTGAAGCGGGAACAAGAAAGTTACAAACAAATGCAGGTTAGTACTGTAAACTAAGGATGTATGTCAAAACTCTACTTCTATGATCGAATTGCATCATGTCACGCTTGTGACTCCTAAAAGCTTTAATGAGAGTTAAGGGTGCTAAGCTTCTACTGAAGGAGATGCCACTTGCATACTTTATTCAGAAAAAAAAAATCTAAGTAAGATTTTCTTTATTTTCTGAATTCTGTAGTGAAACATCTTGGAAACCAGTTGACCATTTTTATTGTAGCTTTCTGTTCATATGTGTATACAAATAAATAAAAATACGCTTAGTCAGTCTGTGTGTCTGACTCTCCATGTCGCTCTGGGGGGGAGCAAGGGGGGAGGGGTGGCTCCTGGCGGGGCGTGGCTCCAGCCAGTGCTGCATCAAAAATGACAGGCGGGGCATGGCTTCAGTGGAACAGGTTGGGGGGGCGGGGCACATGGCCAGATGTGAAGCAGCGGCAGCATGGGGTGCTGGGTGGTGGCCACAGCTGCGTGCAAGCTTTCCCCCCACCCCTTGCTTCTGGGACACAGCGGCGGCACGAGGTGGTGGGTGGTGGTATTCCATCCCCTCCTGCCCCACCACCAAGTCATTCTTGATGGGCAATTCGCTAGTTTCAACATGAAGTTCATTTATGTAGATGTGCAAGTTTTTGTTAGTATAATTAGATTATAGACCTAAGTTTAGGTTTAACCTATTTTATAGTTTCCATAATTTATGCTTTTTTTCTGGGTCTTTAATTCCATAAAGCTTGTATGGTGCAATAGACTGGTGATTTATTGTTTCTTTTGAATTAGTTTATATTTGGGGCATTCACTCTGCTGTAGAAAAATATTAACATTTTTTCACCCCAAGTACCCTGGTTTATCATTAAATAGTTCAGTAAATAGGAAGCTTTTCTCTTCGTAACAGCATTTTTTTTTTCTAAATGGATATTTGGAGCTTAAACACTAGATTTTCTTTTCAATATATTCTTAAATGACTTAAATCCTTCACGCAATGATTTCTGTGGATACTGTCTTTCACTGGAGTAACTGTATAGTGGAAAAAGTCGTGGACAAGTTTTTGATGCTATATACCTTGTCTCAGGTCTTTAAAGTAGAATTTTCTTGGTAAGTAAAGAATATATAGATATACAGTAAAAGCTGCACTATCCGGCACCTTACAGGCTGGCATGCTTTATTAACCAGCATGCTGGCTTGTAAGGAAAAGGCGAAACTGGAATTGTGACACTTCTGGTTTTGCTGAGCCCCCACAGCCTGGGGAAAAGCAGCTCGCATGGGGCCCCCTTCCCTGTCCCTTGATGAGGCAGGAGAGGTGGCAGCCTGAACAGGCAAAGACACCTTTTTGGGCCGTTTAGTTAACCAGCATATTTTGTTATCCAGCACCCCCTATTCCCCCGGGGTGCTGGATAACAAAGCTTTCACTGTACTAGCTAATTGCCCGTCAAGAATGATGGATTTCAAGAACTGCTTACATGGCCCCCAGCTTGCCACCCTCCCACTTGCGCTTCAGGGCCAACCATGTAAAGACTCCCGCCATCACCGCCTCCAGTCTCCCAAACGGGGGCTCCTTCCCCACCGTCTACCTCTGGCTCACAGTGGGGCTTCCCCCTGCCTCCCCTCCCTCCCTCTCTGCTGATTTGTTGTCCAGGCTAGGCAGTAAGGGTGGGCACCACTGTGACCCTTGCTTCCTGCCTGCCTGGCCCTGACAACAGCTGCTACTATGACTCCCCCTGCCTTGTGCCCATGCAGCCTCCCTCCCTCCCCGCTGCTTCCCCCTCCCTGCTAGCTGTTGGGGCCCCCTTCCTGTTCCCCTCCCATCCTCCCTGCCACCTGGCCCCAACAACAGCCA